ACACCGCCGTATAAATGGCGTCTGCTAAATGGGGATAACGACAGAGACGTTCTCGAACAGTTTTTGACTTTGTGACAAATGTAAATTTCGAAAAGAAGTATCAGTGTTCTGCCAAATAACTATTCCTAAGGAACGGGGCGTTTGGTAATCTTACGGGAATTAAACCAGTTATCGATCTTGCGCGTACCCGTAGTTCTGTTACTTAATATCTACCACCTAGCATACCACAAACCCTACAGTATAGTGTGCTCATGTGCCCAATAAAGACCCTGCTATTAATTTTTTTGTCTATTTGCAGAATATTGTTATTGAAACCCAGCCTTCTACGGAAGTCCATGTATTATATTGTAGACGACGTTAAGCATAAAATGACTGAATCCTTAATTCACGTATAGATAGCACAATTTGTAACATTTTCGTTATCACAATGGACACCAGTGGCACGTTTGTTCTTTGTGTACTTTGGGCTTTTTGTACAAATCTAGAAAAAAAATGAAAAAAAAAATCTTAATTATGCGATAAATAATAAACTCATGGAAACTAATACCTGTAGAAACAAACTACAGTATATGCATTAAAGTAAGAAAAATACGTTTTACAATTACTCTCATTATATGCTATCTACGGTTCCAAACACAGGTGATCGACCGGTATGCTTGCTACTTGTCTATTAAATTCTCTCGAGATTTCTATACCACACACACCCAAAACCACGTGACTGTTTACTGATCACCTAACTAAGAGTGACCACGGGGTCATGTGACTTGGTGCAATAACATATTCCATAACTTCAACATAACATTAAACGTTGTAACATGCATCGCTGTCATTTGGCATTATTGCACTGATCATGAATTGTATCCTTTTATGTGATTGGTCACAAATAATGACATAGTCTTCCAATAATGTAATCTTAAATATCTCTTTAAAGACATCATATTCTTAAGTATCAAGTTGGCAAATCAACAAGTCAAAGTTAAAAGTATATATATATATATATATATATATATATATATATATATATATATATATATATATATATATATATATATATATATCACTAGTAGTATTTCATTAGCAAGATTATTTGGTAAATAAATAAACTAACAATTAAAATCTTAACAAGGTATTGTATTCATTGTTTCATATTATTATTATTATTATTATTTTACAGAAGAAACTACTGCCACAGAAGGAATCACAACAACAGGTACATGCATTGGGAATCATTCAGTCAAGCTGATCCAGTCAAGTTAATAAATTTTAAATACAAATTTGAATGATATAGGATTTTGTGAGTTAAACTTGTTTCTTTTTCGATTGGTTAAAGTTTTTCGTATTATGATTTTAGCCGGATATTCACCAAGGCCATCGTTTTGGGTCATAAATAATGTGCGTAATATTTAACCATGGATTTATTTATTCCATTTTTGTTCAGCGCCTGAATCTACTACATACGGTAAGTCATTCTATTACATATGTCTCCCTTTTAGTTTAATATATATTTTTCTATTATTCTGAAGTTATTACTGTTGCCATGGCTATGTTATTCTTTTGACAAGAGTATAAACCTAAATATCTGCATTTTTAAAAATACAAATCTTTACTTGTTCTGAAGAAGAGTGATTTATAATGCTGCCCCGCTGTGTCCGTATTTAAAGTATAAGTTATTCATTGCAAACCTGAAGATTACCATTGCACTGTGTTAGTGTTATGGAAGATACTAAAAGTATATGTGTATAGGGTTCATTCCAGAGCCTGGCCCCAAACTCTTGATGTCTTGACGCCACAGCTTGTTATGAGATTCATAATTACACATATGAATCTCCATCAGAATTCATTTATAACTCTTCCAATCCAGACCCCTGTTCCCGTAACCCCTGCCAGTATGGCGGAACATGTATACGTACCAACAGTTACTATTGGCCGTACATTAACTACAGATGTAACTGTCCTTACTACCGTACTGGGCAAAAGTGCGAGTACAGCGCTATTGGATACCGTAAGTATGGCACGCTGGACACGGTACATCACTCTTTACTAGTATGTGTCCCTTCATTTACCATAAAAAAGGAAGGAAAAATTTGGGCAGTTAGGATTTTAAGATATTAAAATAGACAGTACAATATAAAAGAGAGCAACCAATCAAATCAGTTATTATTTTTTTTCTAATTGTCCTCAGGCTCTGTAGTTTGTAAGTATATTGGTAGATTGTATCATTCATTTGGCTTAGACTTGAAGAGCTAGGCAGCCGTGTGTTCTCAGTCTGGCATTACATGGCATGAGCAAAAACTGGTCAAGTGATTTTAAGCTTTGTTTTGGAGCATAATGCAAATCTAGTTTTTGTAGGTACGGGGTGCTGGATGATAAAAAAATAGTATGCATAAATGTTAAAATTGTAAATAAAATGCATGCTCATATCTTACAAGAGTGCGTTTAGTTTAGTATACACTTTTTAAGACTCTGGGTATGGCAAAGATTGTCTTAAATGGTTTAATAAAAAGTATTCTTATTGCAGCCGTCTCAGTTCGTTTAGTTGGTGGCAACAGCAACAGAGAGGGACGTGTGGAGGTTTCCTACAATGGTCGCTGGGGCACTGTGTGTGATGACGGATTTGACGATAGAGATGCTGCGGTCATATGTCGAATGCTTGGATTTGGGTACATATTTCAATATTTATTTAAGTGACATATGTCGGGGCGTAGATTCCATGTAACACAAATAAATCCCAGCAATTAGTTTCTTGTACCACTTGTTTATAGTCTAAAGGGGGAAGGTATATAAAATCAGTCACTCAATCATCGATTGTAACACCGTACATTCAGTAACTGAGATTCCATTTACGGGCAATATAAACGACCGACAAAAAAGACAGAGTAGAGAATAACACACATTATTACTTTTGTTGATGTATAAAATGTGATAAGTGTGTCACGCGTTTTAGTGACCAGAATGTGGAAGGGTACTACAGCGCATGCTTTGGTGCTGGCAGCGGACAGATATGGTTGGATAACCTAAATTGTACAGGAAGAGAAATGTCTATTTCCCTGTGTAACCATGATGGTTGGGGACAACACAACTGTGGACATGGAGAAGACGTCAGTGTGTCCTGTGGATCTCCATATCAGAACAGTTGTAGAAAAGTACCACATTGTAAGTTATTTCATCCACATTGGTAGCTCATTGGAGGAATTGTACAGGATGGTCTGTAAATATGACACGCGCAGTTTAATTTCCCCATAACCGTGAGAAAATGTAAGAAGAGTAGCATCGTATAGTTCCACACACAACTATTGACTATTGGGGTTATACGAGAAACACCGTAAAAATGGATATCTGGCTTGATTTTATAGTGGTCATCTGTTGCATAACAGTACGAATTCGCAGTTTTGTGTCCCCCTCGCTTCTGCTTTCCAAGACGATCTCTCGGCACCTGAGTTTTGCGGTTATAGCCTCTCGCATATTATTTTAATAATAATAATAATAATAATAATAATAATAATAATAATAATAATATTATAATAATCTTTATTGAAACATTGCAACCCGAAGGTTGAAGTTATACACTTATATATATATATATATATATATATATATATATATATATATATATATATATATATATATATATATATATATATATATATTTTTTTTTTTTTAAGTCAGGGTTCCCTAGTAATTTATGGCCCTGTTGCACACACTATATTCGTTCTCGCCTCCCTGGGGAGGATACACCGTTTAGTCCAGTATTACTTAGCACATTTCCCTTTTTATCCCATCTCTAACGCTGGTGTTAATATTATTAGTCATAAAAACACAGACACGTCAATTGAACAGCGGCAGGCTTCTATTATTGGGATTGTAGAATAAAAAAAAGTTTAAAAAACCTATAACGGTCATTATAATAGATGCATCACGAATGGCTTAAACACGGTGTGGCGTCCCAAATGTCAGTGACTGTAATCGTGTTTGATATTTTGATACATATAAACTATCAACATAAATATCATTTATTTATTTATTTCTTAAAGATTTAAATGCAACATCCGAACCACCGATGACTACCACAAGCTATGGTATGTATTCCGTTATTGAAGTGTAGATTGCAATATAATTAGAGGTTGCATTACTGATTAAAACACTTTCTTTTAGAGACAATACTGCATGATACAATGATTATGTTGTTGGGGTTATTCAATATTTCAATTGGCTTTTGTGAATTTATTATTATCATTACTATTATTGTTATTGGATTTTCAAGAATTGGGCATTTATTTTCTCCACCAAAATAAAATAAAAGGATCAAGTAATCAGAAGACTGTCGAAACAATATACCTAGTGATAGCATTTATTAAAATGTATTGTTTTCCCTTGCATTTTTTCAAGACCCTTGCTCTTCCTACCCATGTTATAACGGAGGCACGTGTGTTCCACAAAAATCTTATTACTGGCCCTATGACTATGTGGACTACAACTGTACATGTCCCTGGGATAGATACGGGAAGAGATGTGAATATTATGGTATGCCACGTTTCAAAACCCACAGCATATTACATCATATTTATTTATAATTAATGCTTAATTCATATGAGGAAGTGCATCTTGTAAGCTGTTACCGTGTTATCTAACATCAGTGTCGATATTAACGCATGTAAAGAAAAATAGTCCCTGAAAAACAGCATATCTGAAAATATACTTTCATGCTGATTCAATCCAATGTGTGTCAAATAATATATATCATTGTTTTCAAATCCAGGGTGGCCAACTACCGAAAGCCCCACAAATAAATCGGTAACACCAAGTATGTACATGTTTATTATATACTTTAATTATTGGGTGTATTATATCAATGATATAGGCGCTATACTAAGTGAAGTACACACAGTTAAACTCTTTATTTTAATACAGTTTACCTCTAGTAAGGTGGTATACATATATACAATTTTATTTTTTAGCTGATATTGTGTATAAAATCGTGATTTATTTGCTCCATTTTAAAAATGAATAACCACTACCTTCCCTCCCTCTCCCTATCTTTCTTTCTCTGCAATAAATGTGCAGGACATCATCCTCGCGTCATTAAGTTATAATAGTACAAGCAGAATTATTTGTAGGATGGCGATTTCTTGATTCGACTTTTGAGTATCCCAGCGGGTTTTTTATCATTCTTCTTCTAGATTGTTAGTAGAAATCAAGTAAGCAATTGTGAACAACAAGTGACATATTCAACAAAACACATAATTTATTTGCAGGGTTTCTTGTGGCAATATACAATGAGATTGTTTCCGTTGTATGAAAATAAATCCACCTCCAAACTATCAAGTGTGGCATATTTCCGACTTTTTTGTGAAAAATAATAATTTTTGTTACATTTACAGTTTGCAAGGCTCAGGCAGACATAATATTTATCTTGGACGGGTCTGGTAGCGTCGACTCACCCGACTTTGCCAAACAACTACAATTCATCAAGTCTTTGGTGAGGAAATTTGACGTTGGACCAAACGCGGTGCAGGTCGGCGTTCTGCAGTACTCAGACTACGCGGTGCAAGAGCTCAACCTTAACACTCACAGCACCGAGGCCGCCATCCTAGCCGCCGTGGACAGGATCAGGCAGATGGGAGACGGTACTAACACAGCCCTAGCTCTCTCCACAGTCCGCACCAGCAGTTTCACGGCTGCCAGAGGCGATCGGCCAAACGTCCCGAACCTCGTTATCGTCATGACCGACGGTAGATCTAATGACATGGCGGCGACCGCCAGAGAAGCAAACAAGCTGCGTAATATTGCGTCTGTGTTCGCAATTGGTGTTGGGAGTAATGTTAATACTGCCGAGCTGAAGGCCATGGCTACCGACCCGGATAGCAAATTCGTGTTTACTGTGACAGACTTCAGTGCGCTGTCAAATATTGAGACACAATTAGCCACGGATGCTTGTGCACGTGAGTAGCTTTTTTATAGATAAGCACGAAAATTGACCATTTAACCCATATTTAAAGGGATAATAACTCTTCGTATTGGCCAAAAAAATGAATTTTCCTGGAGTAAACAACAATTTAATGTACTTACCAATGATTAATGAATCCATTTTTACATTCAAAGTTAGTCCCTTTTTTTTTTTTTTT